GCCTTGGCGTGCCCTTCAACATTGCCAGCTATTCGCTCCTGACTGTCATGATTGCGCACGTGTGCGGTCTTCGGCCCGGCGATTTTGTTCACACCATCGGCGATGCACACGTGTACTCGAACCACGTCGACGCGCTCAAGGAGCAGGTACCGAAGCTGTGACGAAACCCAGAACGAGATGCACGCGTGTTGCGGGGTGATAGTGCATTGGTCATAACGATTGCAATGTCGCATTCGGCGTTGATGTGTGACACATGAGGTTGCACTGCGAGCATATGATTCACCAATTTCCACCTTCGACCACCATCCTGTTCCACCTCCGCCACCTGCCCACCACCACATGCTCCTGCAGCTGACACGCGAGCCACGCCCCTTCCCCACGCTCAACATCAAGCGAGACGTCACAAGGTATCAACCAATCACAAGCACAGGCAGTCACCCCATCACCACGAGCAACCGCCCCATTACTATCCATGCCTTTGTGTTTGCGTCCCCACCACTCACCCCCGCATGCACCACCACGCCGCCACAGCATCGATGACTTCAAGGCGGAGGACTTTGAGCTTGTTGGATACAAGCCCCACGGCAAGATTGCAATGAAGATGGCCGTGTGAGTGAACACACGACGTGTGTGTGTGTGTGTGTGTGTGTGTGTGTGTGTGTGTGTGTGTGTGTGGTGATGACGACAACCTTGCCTTGCTTGTTTGTGTCCCTGTTTTGTTTGATGTTTGCGATGTGAAACGATGCGCCTAGTCAACCCTTGTGTCTGTTTGCTGACAACGAAACAATAAACGCTGAACGCTTTACTGACGTGTGGGAGGGGGGGGGGCGGTGTACTGACAACCACACAAGACCAACAGGTCGAGCTGATGGGCAGTGGTGGTGATAAGCACGAATGGACAAAGAAGAGAAGAGAAGTAAGGGAAATTGTGTAAGAATGCATGTGTAAAGGGGTGGTTGCGCATGTGCGAATAATGCACGTGTTGCGTCACGGCAGGGCCGGGGCGTGTGTGCGTGTTCACTTCATGGTTGGCATGACGGTGGCGGCCTTGAGCACATCTGCATCGCTGTTGCGCCACAGGCTCGTGATGGTCTTCAGCTGCGTGTAAAACTGCACGCCGGCCTTGCCTGTCGCCGTGCACAGCACAGTATGGCATCAGACAAGGGTGAGTGAATGGATGCATGGGTGGATGCATGGATGCATGGATGATGGTTGGAAATGCTGGTCACGCATGGTGCAGCAGTGTGTGTTGGGAAGAAAGAGAGGGAGAGAGAGAGAGAGAGAGAGAGAGAGAGTGTGTGTGTGTGTGTGTGTGTGTGTGTATGTGTGTGTGTGTGTGTGTGTGTAATTTGTGGATGTATGTTGGCACTGCGACTGGGTTGAGATCGTCACTGCGATTGCATCAACCACGCATCGAGCCGCAAACACCAGCACTGAAACATCAATGCTTCATCTCCCCCACCGTACTTGTGGAAAACGAGAGGCACAGGGCACGCATGAACCAATACATGCAGCCCAGCCACGCCACAACGGTTGGTGGGGTTTGTGTGTTGTGTTGTGTTGTGTCGTGTCGTGTTGTGTTGTGTCGTGTGTGTAGTGTGTTGTGTGTGTGTGTGTGTGTGTGTAACTGTGTCCAGACACATCAACACAGGGCCAATGTTACATTGCGTGCACGCACCGTAGAAGTTGAGGTCGCCGACAAAGGAGGCCTTGTTGCCCGTGAAGGAGAACATGGGCAGCGGCACGGGGATGGGCACGTTCACGCCAACCTGATCGCAAACACACAGACACGTGTGTGAGTGTGTGAGTGTGTGCGTAAGTGTGAGTGAGCAAGACAGAATAAGTACGACGTGGCATTTGTGTCACTTGAACTGAAAAGAAACGCGTAAGAAAAGAGAGAGAGAGAGAACCACGAGAGGAAACAAAGAAAAGAGTGAAGACGACGGAAAATGTGTGTATGTGCCGTGACTGTGCTCGTGCGTGGCGCGTGTGTCCACATGCGAGCAAACACAAAGAGCCACGTATGCACACTGTGGAGGATAGTGTTCCCCACCGTACTTGTGAAAGCAAAAGGCACAGGGCGCACACAAGAGGTGCGACCCAGCCACGCCACAATGGGTGATGGGGGTCAAGAGGCAGAGAAGGGAGGGGAAGGAGGGGAAGGAAGCAGCACAAGCAAAGGAAACAAGACGAAGGAAGAGATAAAGGTGGGGGGGGGGAGACAGTAACCCGGTTTCTGCACCACAGGCCGCCACAACTTCACACAACCACACGCACAACCACACACTCTTCTCTCCTCACCTTGCGCACCTCATCAATACAAGAACACATCACACATGTCGCAAAAACTGCAAACGCACCTGTCCGGCCTCAATCTCAAAGGTGAACTTGCGGGCAGCGGCGCCGCAGTTTGTAAACACGGCCGTCCCGTTGCCCCACCTGTTCTTGTTCACGAGCTCAATGGCCTCGTCAATCGTGTCAACCTCAAGGCACACCAGCACGGGCCCAAAGATCTCCTCCTTGTAGCAGTCCATGTCCGTTGTCACGTGCGACAGGATGGTTGGCCCCATCCAGTTGCCGTCCGGGTAGCCGTCCACCTTGATGTTGCGGCCATCAAGCAGCAGCTTCGCGCCCTGCTGCACACCAGACTCAACCAGGTCGTACGCGCGCTGCATCGCCTCTCGCGAGATCATCGGGCCAACGTCCGTCCCGGGCTGGTCCCCTGCCCCCGTGGATGGATGTGTGTGTGTGAATGTGTGTGTGTGTGTGTGTGTGTGTGTGAATGTGTGTGTGTGTGTGTGTGTGTGTGTGTCAGTACGTGACATGGGGCACATGCGTGTGGACAAGCATGAACAAGTACATAAACACACAGCCGCGCACGCAACCACACGCGCAACCACACCGACAGCAGTGGCAGTGGGGGCGCACCTGCGGAAACCTTGAGGCCGCGCGCGAGCTCAATGAGGTCCTCGGACCACGACGCCGCCTCGCCAACGAGCACAACCGTCGACAGCGCCATGCACCGCTGCCCGGCGGCCCCAAACGCTGCGGCACAAGACAAGAACACAGACACATTTGGGATAGGATGAGTGTTGGGAGGGGGAAAGGTGAGCCAGCAGACAGCATGTGGTGTGTGATGAGACACAGAAAAGGAAACGGGAGGAGGGATGGGCACTTATGAAACAAACACACGAGAGACAAACAGATGAAGAAAAGTACACGATCACACGTGATAACAAGTGGTGAGCAAGGGTGCTCACCAGCGCCAACGAGGGCGTTGAGCGTGGCCGTCTTGTTGGCGTCGGGCAGAATCACGCCGTGGTTCTTTGCCCCCATGTTGCTCTGCACGCGCTTGCCGTTGCTGCTCAGAACGAGTCCCATGTGTGTGTATGTGTGTGATGAGATTGTGAGATAAAGGTTCATGTGACAAGGAGGGAAATAGAAGCATGATTAGAAGAAAGATGTGTGCACAATTGTACATCACAGATTTGCACATTCACAAACTTGTACGTCACAGCAAGAAAACGCGCGCGCGTTTGTGTGTGTGCGTGCGTGCGTGCGTGTGTGTGTGTGTGTGTTAGTGTCGCACCCAGAGCCGCGGTTCCAGATGTGCATGCCGGCGTTGTCAGAGCCAACAAAGGAGATGGCCTTGATGTGCTCGTTGTCGCAGAGAAAGTTCACAGCTGATGGAGGAGCAAAAGAAGTGTGCGTGTTCGATTTCGTGCGTGTGTGAGAAATGATGTGCACACATGAGCACAGCACACAAACCAGGCAAACACACATACATGCATGATGAGCTGGTGTATGTGTGTGTGCATGTGCTCGTGCGTGTGTGTGTGTGCATGTGCTCGTGCGTGCATGTGTGAACGTACTGTCGACGCTGCCGTGGACCATGTTGAGGGCGCCATCGGGGACGCCGGCCTCCTGGGCAAGCTTTGCAATCAGCATCGCAGCACCTGCACATGGACACACACCGCGGCACGCAATTGATGAGAGGAGCGGAGATGAGCGATGTACAAACATGGTGTGTGTGTGTGTGTGTGTGTGTGTGTGTGTGTGTGTAGCAGACCTGGGTCGCGCTCGGAGGGCTTGAGGAGCATGGTGTTGCCGCAGGCGAGGGAGACAGGGAACATCCACAGGGGAATCATGGCGGGGAAGTTGAACCTGACCAAAACCCAACGTGCCACAGGCATGCGTCATTGGCGATATTGAAGAAGAATGGGCTGGATAGGGGCTGAATCGAAAACACACCAAGCCCAACATGCAAACCCAACACACAAACCCAACACGCACGCAAACCGACCAGGAAACAGAATGCACACAATACACACAATACAATACACACACCAAACGAGCCAACCAACAACCCCGCAAGCCAGCTCTCCGTACGCCAGGGCACGCCCGCCTACACAGGAACAAGAGCAATGGTAGCTTGCAGCCAACAACATACGGGCAGATGCCGGCGGTGACGCCAAGCGGCATGCGGTAGCTGTATGTGTCCATGTCCTTGGCGACGTTTCCAACCGTCTCGCCCATGAGAAGCGATGGAATCCCGCACGCGTGCTCAACAACCTGCAGCCACACGATGGGGTCGATGCAAGTCAGGGAAGGGAGCCGAGTGGGTGAGTGTGTGTGTGTGTGTATGTGATTGTAAGTGTGTGTGCGTGTGTTTGTAAGTGTATGTGTTTGTAAGTGTGTGTGATTGTGTGTGTGTGTGTGATTGTGTGTGCGAGGGGCGAGGAAAAATATGGCTGGGACACGAAAGATGGGAATACGACTCAAGAGACGATAAACATGGCGAGGCGTTGCCCATTATAAGTGTTTCACGGGCAAAGCTGTTACCTGGATGCCACGCAGCACATCGCCCTCTGCATCCGCAAGCGTCTTGCCCTGCTCGAGCGTGATCAGCTTGGCGAGCTCGGACTGTCGGACAAACACAGGGTGGGGGAGAATTGGGGGGGGGGTGAGAAAAAGCAAAAGCAGAGCCGTGCGTGTGAAGGCTGTATGCAATTCACGATGCACAAAACCCGGGGCAATGAAAAAGCACAGCTCACACACACACACACACACACACACAACACAACACAACACAACACACCACATAAACACAACACACCACACCACATGAACACACACACACACAACACACACACTGACCATGTTGTCGCGGAGAAGGCCCTGGAGCTTGAACATGACGTTCTGGCGGGTGATGACGGAGCTGTTGCGCCATGTCTTGAAGGTCGCGGCGGCAGACTCGGCAGCCTCGTTGAGCTCCTCGGGCGTGGCACAGGGCACCTCACTCACAATCTCGTTTGTGGCCTTGCAGAAGAACGGATGGGATCGCAACAACGTACGGTGCACACGAAGGATGGGGATGTGAGCGGAGCAAGATCAGATAGGCATACACGTTGCGATCACACAGGCAGTACACAATAAACACACAAGGCTGTGGCGGCGCAGCGTACCGGGTTGCGGACGGGAAGCCACTTGTCAGTGGTTGACTCGCGGAACTCGCCGTTGATGAACAGCTTTGTAGTCGACTGGCAGGAGAGAAAGAAATGCGTGCGAGGGAGGTTGACGGGCGGAAATAGGGGGACGGGAAAAATGAGCACGTGCGCGTTGAGAAAATGAAGCAAAGGGTGCATGTTGCAGTGGCACTTGCTGGCTCTGTTTGTTGTGACAACCCGCAGCAGCAGCAGCAACACAAGGCAGAGACAGTGGGAAACACACAACAACAACAAAACAACAAACCTACAAGTAGGGAACATCAATAACTGAGGGCGGAGGGCTCGCATTCTCAAACGAATGTGCATACTCACTGCAAGGCGGGTCTGGGTGGCCAAGGCGCGAGGCAGGGCCATCGCCCGCGTGGCAGTCGTCGTGGTGGCCGTCCACATCGTGAGCTGTGTGTGTGTGGTGAAGAGAGGGGAAATGGTGGGCAAAAGAGGAAGGAAAAAAGCACAAGCAAGCAAGCGCCACGCAACACATGTGGCTACGTTTTGTGCTGTCGTGCATGTGGTCGTGGGTCGAGTCCTTCCTGCCTGTCACCTGCTGTTGTAACTGTGCAACACGTGGTGCGACCGCCAGTGCTGGTGGTGTTGGTAGTGTTCCTGGCGTGCGTTGTGCGATTTGCTTCTCGTCTCTCGTGCACAGCACAGCACAACACACACACACACATGCACACACGCACATACATACACCAACACGCCACCAGGTACAGCAACAAAGGGATGTGGCAGAGGAGGGCCGCGGCGGCGACGAGCCAGAGAATCAGCACTGCTGCGGGCACTGCAGGCACTGCAGGGAGAAGGTCATGGCTGCCTTTTGGGCGCAATCGCATGGGGCGTGGTGCCATTAGGAGCAACAGCACCGGCTCTGTCAAGCAGAATCTTGTGGAGAAGATTGTGCAGCGCCATGTGACGCCTGCATCTGCCACCGCCGTGCGCAGTGGCGACTTTGTGTCTGTTGCACCAGCGTTCGTCATGACCCACGACAACACTGCTGCAGTCATGCAAAAGTGAGTTGCAACAGACACACAAAACAGTGTGGAAGGGGGGGATGAATGCGTATTCACGCTGCTGCCAATGTGTCCATGCTGCTGCCAATGTGTCCATGCTGCTGCCACTGCCCATGTTTTGACGTGGTCACCATGGGCTCGAGGCTGTTCCATACACAAGACAACAGCACCGCGTACACACGATCTCACTCCGACTCACTCGCATGTACGCATCTACGCACTCGCATGCACACTCACGCACACACTCACACTCACACTATCTCACGCACTCGCACGCTCACACACACACACACACACACACACACACACACACACACACACACACACACACACACACACACACACACACACACACACACGCACGCACGCACGCACGCACGCACACACGCACACACGCACACACGCATCTTCCCTTGCTCACACATCGAAATGTCGTTTGGCTGAAACCAGGTTCGATGAGCTGGGTGCTGACCATTTCTTCAACCCACACCAAGCCGTGTTCACCCTGGATCACAACGTCCAAGACAAGTCAGGTATTGTCACGTGGCGGATGCCAGGACTGTGGACTGAGGTTGACCGCAAGCAAGCGTGCTTACTCTGATGCGAACTCAGCGCCCCCGCCCCTTGTCCCTTTCCCTTTGTTCCCCTTGCCGCTACCTGCAACAGAGAAGAACTTGGCCAAGTACAGAGCCATTGAGGCATTTGCAGCGAAACACGGCGTCACCTTCTTCCCTGCAGGTGGGTTGCACATGCTAAGAGGGGATGTGGAACACACACACGCACATGCGCGCGCACACAAATGATGTGTCTTCTCCTTCTTTTTTATTGCCCTGTGTTGAAGTGGACCTTCAATCACACGCACACATGCACACACACACACATATATGTGCATGGCACACATATATCATGCAGGGCGTGGGATTGGACACCAGGTCATGTGTGAGGAAGGATTTGTGTTTCCAAACAGAATGGTGGTCGCAAGTGACAGCCACTCAAACATGTGAGTAATCATCCGAATGTACAAAGAGCCATTTGTCCACAATCACAGCCCGACTTGCCATCCTCTTGGGGCAGCGACCTGATCGCCCATCCACCTCTTTCTTGCATCACTCTCCTTTTCTCATACCGCCACCACAAACGACCGCGACTGCAGGTATGGTGGTCTCGGCTGTCTTGGAACACCGATTGTGCGAACAGATGCAGCTGGTATCTGGGCAACTGGGCAAACGTGGTGGCAGATCCCTCCAGTTGCAAAGGGTATGTGTGTGTGTGTGCATTCATGTGTGTGTGTGCACTCATGTGTGCGTGTGCATGCATACGTGTGTGTGTGTGTGTGTGTGTGTGTGTGTGTGTGTGTGCGTGTGCATGCATACGTGTGTGTGTGTGTGTGTGTGTGCGTGTGTTAATGAACCGCGTGTTCGTCTCAAACTTCGCCTCCAACCTGCGCCAGTGCAATTAATTATGGATGCGTCCTTCCTTTACTGGTTCGCTTCACCGCGCTCACCCGTTGCCATTGGTGGTCTCACGTGCTCATGTCCACACGCTTCTCTTGCTGCAGTTGTGCTGTCGGGCAAGCTCAGGCCAGGGGTGACAGGAAAGGACGTCATTGTCACGCTGTGTGGCGCCTTCAACCACGATGAGGTGCGATCATTCGCATATGAAGGATGCATGGTGCGCTTGCGCACCATCGCATCTGAAGTGTGGACGAGTCAAACCACATTATGCAATCATCACTTACCATCACGCACCACCATCACCACTCAGGTGCTGAACCACGCCGTTGAGTTCTCTGGCGACGGAATTGCGTCGCTCTCCATCGACGAGCGGCTCGTAAGCGTTGATGTTGATGATGATGATGATGATGATGATGATGATGATGATGATGATGATGATGATGATGATGTTGATGATGATGATGATGTATGTATGTATGTATGTATGTATGTATGTATGTATGTATGTATGTATGTATGTATGTATGTATGTATGTATGTGTGTGTGTGTGTAGTACGCGATTGACCCGCATTTCTTGACATCCAACAGTTGACTTGAATGTCGCTGCCAACCCTTTACATGCGTGCACACGTGTACACACCCTCATTCAAATCAAACACACACGCACACACACGCCCATACAATCAAACACACGCACGCACACACGCTCATACAATCAATCACACACACACACACACACACGAACACACGCACGCGCACGATCAACCACATGCACGCGGTCTCCAGACCATTGCGAACATGACAACAGAGTGGGGTGCGCTTGCAGGCGTGTTCCCGGCTGATGCTGCTGTTGCTGACTGGTACACGCGCCGGTACGAGGCATCGGTTCGGCGCAAGTCCGCCTTCCACACCCGCGTCACACGCCAGAATCTGGAGTGAGTCACATGTTTGTGTTTGGTTCGGGTTGTTTGGTTGGTTGGTTTGGTTGGTTTGTTTGGTTGGTTTGTTTGTTCCTGCGTGCGTGTGTTTGTTTGTTTGTTTGGTTGGTTGGTTGGTTTGTTTGTTTGCGTCGTCTGTGTGTGTGTGTGTGTGTGCTTATGCGACTGTTTACTTGCGCACGCATGTGTTGCTGTGCCACGAAAGCACGCCGTGGTTGTGCCGACAGAAGCAGAGACACTACTGCTCCCTTGTTTGAGTGCCTGTTCACCCACACCTTCATCGTCACATTTCAGGAGCATTGGCAATGACGAGGGCTTGGCGGCTGATAGCGGTGCACACTACGCGAAGGTGCTGACCCTTGATCTCGCCACCGTCGAACCGCACGTCTCCGGCCCAAACAGCGTCAAAGTCATGCACAGCCTTGCAGACATGGCACGCCGCAAGCAACCCGTACACAAGGTGTGGCCCACAATTGGATGAAACCATGATGACAACATCACGCCTGCAAAGAAACGCCTGCAAGGCGACGGGGGCGATTGCACCGCTTGCATCAGTCGGAGCATCGCTTACACCATGTCCTCTCCTCACCCATCCGTGATAATTTCTGTTGTTGTTGTTGTTGTTGTTGTTGTTGTTGTTGTTGTTGTTGTTGTTGTTGTTGTTGTTGTTGTTGTTGTTGTTGTTGTTGTTGTTGTTGTTGTTGTTGTTGTTGTTGTTATTCATCCCCAGGCGTATCTGGTGTCGTGTGTCAACTCCCGTGCCGAGGATATTGCGCGCGCAGCCGCTGTTGTCCGCGGAAAGAAAATTGCCCAGGTACGTGCGTGCATGTGTGTGTGTATGTCGTCGTATGTACTCGTGTGCGTGTGTGTGTGTGTGTGTGTGTGTGTGTGTGTGTGTGTGTGCATGTGTGTGTGTGCATGTGTGTGTGTGTGCTTGTGTTGCGTTCATCGAATACCGCCCTAGTTCACTCACCGTTTTTACGCATCGACCGCACACCTTGCCGCCAAACCCACCCTGCAAACACAACCAGGGCGTTGAGATGTACGTTGCGCCTGCCTCAACAGAGGTGCTTGAAGAGAGCGAGCGCAGCGGCGACTGGCAGGCACTGCTTGCTGCTGGTGCCGTACCGCTGCCAGCGGGGTGCGGCCCGTGCATTGGGCTCGGACAAGGTGGTGTTCATAATTTTGGTTGTTGATGGTGGGGATGGTTGTGGCTGTTCTTCTGGCTTGTTGTTGTTGCTGCTGTCTGTAGTGTTGGAGATGTGTTGTGGTTGTTGCTGTTGTGTGAGTTGTTGCTGTTGTTGTATCGAGGGTCTGCATTCATCCAATCATCGACACGACCTCCATGGCGGCACCACACGCGCATGTATGAATGTCCACATGTGTGCGTGTTCTCAACAGGTCTGCTGAAGGATGGAGAAGTTGGTATCAGCGCAACGAACCGAAACTTCAAAGGACGCATGGGATCGCCAAACGCAGAGGTGTGCGTGTGTGTGTGTGTGTGTGTGTGTGTGCGTGTGTGTGTCGCGTGAAGATGCAGCTGCAGTGCGCACATGCGCGCGCGTGTGTGTCATGAAAGTCGCGCTTACTCTTTCAACCCATTCTGGCTTTTTCGAACTCTCAACGCTCATGTACACGTGCACCTGCGACCACATGTCTCCTGCATGTTGCAGGCGTATCTCGCGTCGCCCGAGATTGTGGCTGCATCTGCCATTGCTGGTTTCATCACAGGGCCGGAGGCTTTCATCATGTCCAACAGCGGCCAGCCGCTGTCTGCACACATTGGTGCGTGCTGGCGTGGTTTGCGTCGTGCACATGATGTTGGCTGGTTTCTAACAGCGGCGATGGCATCGTGAGCCAAGCCTTTCACACTTCACCCGCACACATTCAGCCTCACACAAGTACATCCACTTCATTCTCATACATACACGCATACACGCATACACGCATACACGCATACACGCATACACGCATACACGCATACACTTTCTCGTGCCTGCACACATTCTCACACGCGCGCACACTCCCTCATGCGCGCACAATATGACACCAGAGGAATGCGAACAGCCCCCCACCGAAGCTGCGCATGTGGCCGGCGAACAGCGCCCTTTGCTTGAAGGATTTCCGGACCGGATTTCTGGACGAATTGTCCTGTGTGCTGATGATAACATCAACACAGATGGCATCTATGCTGGCAAATACACGTACAGGGAAGACATTGACCCGCAACAACAGGCGCAGGTGCACAACAGCCACTGCATTTGGTCGTGCTCTCTTTGGATGGCTGTTTCCTCTTGCTGTTGTACACGCAGACGTACACACACACATACACACACATACACACGCGCACACACACACACTGAAACACGCACACACACACGCACACACCACACGCACACACGTACGCCATCACCGTTACATGCAGGTGGTGATGGAGAACTATGACACATCGTTTGTCTCGAACGTCCGACGCGGGGATGTGTTGGTGACAGGGTTCAACTTTGGCACAGGCAGTTCGCGTGAGCAGGCCGCAACTGCACTCAAGCATGGTATGTTGTTGTGGGATAACAAAGGTGCAGAGCGGGTGATGGTTGAGGAAGTGTTCGTGTTGAGAGTTGTAGCGACTGCAATTGATTGCCGTCGTATTGTTGAGCGTCTTCTTCCACAACCACACCCATACACCCACGCACACAATCTCTCTCGCCCGCGCATTCACACTTACACACATATTCACTCACGCGCTCTCTCCCCTCTCCCATTCTCGCATTCACGCACGCAGCCGGTGTTTCGCTTGTGCTCAGTGGATCCGTGAGCGAAACGTACAAACGCAACGCCCTCAACAACGGCCTGCTCGTGCTTGAAGTCCCTGCTCTTGTCACCGACATGAAGGTATGCGCAGATGGCACAACATGGTGTCCATTTGACACTTGTCTTTGAATGGCGACAGCGACCATTTCATGCATGTGTGGTGTATGCGCGCGCGCGCGCGCGTGTGTGTGTGTGTGTGTGCGTGCGTGCGTGCGTGCGTGCGTGCGTGTGTGTGTGTGTGTGTGTGTGTGTGTGTGTGTGTGTGTGTGTGTGTGTTGACTGCACATCGCATGACACGCAGCCGCATTCCTTGTGGCATGTGACGCCTCGCATCACCATCACTCGTCTGCTTTGCGCTCGTGTTCATGCAGGCGTATGTGCGGCTGGAGCCCAACACCGCTGTGTTCATGGCCGACACGATTGACGTGGACTTTGCACAGTGCTGTGTGCGGTGGTACGAACACAACTGTGCGCAAGTGCGCCTGCAAGCAAGCGCTAATGCAACCTCCTGCTTTCTTGTCAGCACAACCATGCCTGTCTTGTCACAGTGTGTGTTTACTGCGGCTGAATCCTCACGACATACATACCACACACACACACACACACACGCACACACACACACGCACGCACAACGCTCTTGGTGTACAACAGGAACGGTCGCGCATACGCGTGCTCGCCAGTTGGACGCATTGCACAAGAGCTGGTTGTGGCTGGCGGACTCAAGAATTGGATTGCGCAGCGCCAGTTGTAGCGTCAGGTGGCAGGTCTTGACGTAGCAGTTGCAATAGTCGCAAACAATCATATGCCAGTGCTGGTTACATATCACACTCTGCTTAGCGCATCACCTTGTGCACCACCACATGACATCGACTTCGACCAGGATTGTGAGTTGTGCAGCAGAACACACACGCACACACACGCACGCACGCACGCAGAGTCAGCGTGTCAATTGCTTGCTTGTTCAACTGTGGTCACGCCGTTTATTGGGAAGGTTGATCTAATTTGGCTTTCTGTACACGCACACGCACACATGCACAAGCACCGCACCCGTCTCCTCGCAACACACGTGCACGCCTGTGCCCTGGAGCGAAGCGATGTGCCCACTGCACGCGTTCATTGCACGTGCATGAGGTGGGAAGACGGGTGGGTGGAGGGCGACACCGAATACGGAAACGAAACAAAAGCAAATGCGCACGCAAACGGGCGCAGTTACTAATGTAAAGGCACATTAGAAAGGTCAGCAACCACAGCTCAAGATAAAACGTAAAACTCACACTCACACACGCGAACAAGCACATGCATCCCAAGAGCAGGGACGTGAGTGGCTCTGACTAAGACACCAAGCAGCAATTGAGAATCATGATACAGAAGATGATGGTGAACGAGGAAATCCGTGAAGAACAACGCACGCCGCACAACAGCACACACGCAACCACACACGAGCCCACGGAGGAATGAACGCAACCAGCAATAGCATGTGCTCCTGAGATAATGCACTTTCGTAGATAACCACACACAACGACATCATGAAACGACCAAGCCCAACGCAGGCGTACACGCGCGCAAGAAAGGTAATGCACGTGCACGTGCGCGTGGACACATTGGCAGTCGCCTTATGAAATCGATTCAAACACATGCACAAGTGGCACATATTCCAAAGGGCAAGGAAAGGGGATGTGCCCCTTTGCATCCGTTTGATTGAGCGAGAGAGGAGGAAGCAAGGAATAGTGGCGACAAAACTGTCACTCATGCAATATGCCTTGCGCACCACGTGTCAATCACCAGCCACCCACGCACGCGACAAGCACACGCCGTGAACAATTGAAGAACGAAACCAACACGAGTCACATTGTCACATCACAGGACCTCGTGATGGGCTGTCATGCAACCAGCCGTGTGCTTGCGATGGTGCTACGCCAAGAGTGATGAAGGGGATGTCCTGTCCTCCTCGCCAAACAGGCCAACGCCCCAGCCAGATGCCTCAAACGAGGGGTCTGCAGCCTTAATCTGCTTCTCGTACTGCTGCAGCTCTGCCATAAAGTCCAGGTTTGGCGAAATGGACGGTCGCTTCTTCTGCTCGTTTGTTTGTGAGAGGGGGGGGGGCACATATGCAATGGCAAGACACACGTGGGGGAGGTGAGAGGTGGGAGGAGGAGGAAGGGGTGAAGGAGGAAGCACGGAGGCAGTTGCGATGCAATATCCAACCATGGGCGCACATGTACAAGTAGACACACAGAGGCGCAGAGACGCAGACACACACACACACACGCACACACACACACACACACACACCTTGACGAGCGCGTACGCGTCCGAGAGTGACATTTTGTTTTTGAACATGAGATATGCAATGGCCACCGAGGGCGAGCGTGAGATGCCTGCGACGCAGTGCACCAGCACTTTGCCACCCGCTTCTCGCGCGCGTTCAATAAACTCAAATGCTTCGCCAAAATGCGCAATCAGGTTTTGGTTCCAAGAATCCTGCATGGGGCAAGTGGTTGGGTAGCATGACGTCACCGTGTGTGCGGTGTTGTGAGATATCTTGGTTGTTGTTGTTGTTGTTGTTGTTGTTGTTGTTGTTGTTGTTGTTGTTGTTGTTGTTGTGCTCGGACACGGAGTCGAACAAAAGGGGAAACAGGCCACAGACACACACACACACACACAGACACACGCACAGACACACACACACAAGCAAACATACAAGCACGCAAACACACACACACACGCACACGCGCGCGCGCGATGTCGGCAAACTCACCAAGATCTCGATGACGCAGTACTCAATGTGTGGGTGGCGGGTTGGCGAGCGGGTCGTGAGGTTGAGGATGTGTGTGATGCCGTGTTTCCTGACAATTTCTTCCTTTTCCGCGTGCGCCTCCGCACCAACATACATGTAGGGCAGAATCTCGCACGGCTCTGCATCGCGGTGGTGCCGTTCAATTGGAGTTGTCGGAGTCTTTTGCTTGTCTGCAGACTGCAGCTGCTGCACGGGGAGCGAGAAGCCAATGCCGGCAGGCACGTTGCCTTTGCTGGCCTCAACCACATCGTATTTCGCCTTCATTGCTTCAAACCCACCTGCCATCCGTGTGAGTGTGAGTATGTGTGTGAGTATGTGTGTGAGAGAGAGTGTGTGTGTGTGTGAGTGCGAAGGGGCAACGGAGGGCGTGGTGAGCAGCAAGCAAGGGGCTTTTTCGCATCTCAAAATGAACACACACGCACACGCGTGCACACACACCATGTACGCACACACACACACACCACACATACATACATACATACATACATCCATACATACATACGACACCATGCCCACCTTTGAGGAAGTAGCAAGGCACGCCATCGTGTTGCAACGACCGGAGGATGACGTGAAGCGGGTTCTTCTGGTCGTAGGGCGCGCCATCGGCGGTGGTGGTGGCTGCATCATACACGACGACAACCGGGTTGTTGTCTGCTTTGCAGTTGGTGACAAACGCCTCGCGTTCATCCTCCTTGATCAGGTCCTTGAGAGCAATCTTGTTCTGTGCGAGACGGCGCAGCAACATGCTCGAGAGCTTGACGGTGTGTGCGTTGACAAGATGGCCCACGACGTAATCGGAGAGCGGGCGTGTGTCGATGAGGATGAGCGTTTTCTCGTCCTTGTTGTGAAACATGAGCTCGTGGAGCTCCTCGGGCGTCATGCCGGTTGCTTGCACGGTGTCACCCATGGCATGCGGCTGCATCTGGGTTGCTGACAGGGCGCGCGGAGCGGCAAACACGATGGCGATCGCCAACAAGAGCTAACGGGGTGACGCGGTGATGTGGAGACGTGAAGGAGATGGGAAGATGCGGTTGCAATGGATGTATGAAGGCAGCTGCCACGGGATGGGCGAAGTTGATGACGGAAGAGTGTGTGTGTGCGTGTGCGTGCGTGTGTGTGCGTGTGTGCGTGTGTGTGTGTGTGTATGGATCGTAGTGCCGGAAAGGCGAGGATGATTCCCTAGCAGGTACGAGGCAAAGAGGAACAGTACGAGGATGTGAGGAGGATGGGAAGGAAGGTCGAGCATGAACCAGAGAAGAATGTGTGTGTGTGTGTGTGTGTGTGTGTGTGTGTTGGCAATTGGTCGAGGGGGAAGGAGAGGGCGGCGTCACAAAGATGGTTGCTTGTTGATGAACATGCGAAGGACCCACCAAGTTGCAATTCAAGGTGCGAAAGCCAAGAGAGAGAGAGAGAGAGTGTGTGTGTGTGTGTGTGCGTGCGTGTGCGTGCGTGTGTGTGTGTTGGCTTTTGGTCAAACAAGCGGGAAGGAAGGAAGACAACACCACAACGCGAAGCAACAACGCGAAAAGCTGAAAGTCAAGAGGACAACAGGTGGTTGGGGATACGAGGAGAAAAGGAAGAGGATAAGGAGGACGACGAAGAAGAAGAAGAAGAAGAAGAAGAAGGGGGCGGGGAAACAAAGACGATGGTGGTGGCGGTGATGAAAAAGAAGAAGAAGAAGAAGAAGAAGGGGGAAGAAGAAGAAGGGGGCAGCAGAGGGGAAGAAGAAGAAGGGGGCAGCAGAGGGGAAGGAGACACCGAGCACACCGAGGCGCGAGTGTCACACAAGCTATTCCGAACCGACGACAAACAGCTTACACGCAAACGATGTGGGGTGTAGAATGCGCAGTCTTCTCTCCTCTGTCGATCGTTTGGTTGCTTCTTCGGGGTGTTGGTTGGTTGGTTGGTTGGTGCGCAGCGAGCAACGAGCGGGATTCTCACACAGCAAAGCAAAAGAAGCAGGGGCTTGCTTGAAGGCGGCGTCGTAGCAGCAGCAGGAAGGCAGGTGCTTGCGCGCGCTCACAACGGAAGGGCTAGCAGGCGGCGGGTGTTGTTGTTGTTGATGCGGTTCGCGGTTCGGTTGTTTGGATTTGTGCGCGTTGTTCGTGTGCGTTGTTGTTCTTGCTGCGATTGCTCTCTTTTCGTCAACAACGGAAATCACGTTCGCGACACCGAAGAACTGGTTAAAACAGCATCGAATCCGCAACAGGGCACGAAATTTTAATATGCCGACAGCACAAAATAACATGTCCGGGAAAAAAGTGTGCATGTTTGTGTGTGTGTGTGTGTGTGTGTGTGTGTGTGTGTGTGTGTGTGTGTGTGTGTGTGTGTCTGTGTGTGTCTGTGTGTGTGTGTGTCTGTGTGTGTCTGTG